CCCCAAAACCCCAAAACCCCAAAACCCCAAAACCCCAAGACTTCTGGTCAAAATTGAAGCCAATTAGATTTTAGCTATTCCCGTGAGCTTGTTTTGAAGTTGTTTAATTTTTGAAATACGGGCTGGGCCTCCTCCCAATCCTGTATCCGCTTCAAAAGCAACTAGCCTGCTCTTCGTGTTGAACCTTGAAGTAGAGGAGACTGAGTACAGCTTCGAGTATATGTCTCCATTGTTCAAAGCAATGGCACTATGCAGTATTGCTTGGTGAGGGACGAAAGACTCGACTAGTCTATATGCATGAGGCCTTATCTCTGTGATAAAATCTGACATTGTTGATTTAATTTGCAACATCTGGCTTCCTCTGAGATATCCAGACAGGATCAACTCTTGTCCCAACTTTGTGATGACGTCACACAAATACACACACAGCATTTTGTTCATGATTCTAACTAGGTTCTTGGACAGTTTTAAGCTCTTAAGCTCGTCAGCGAACATTGATGCAACTAACCAATGAGCATTAAGTGTTGCAGCAGTGATCAGCTCGATGCTATAGGTCTTGCTCCAGGCCACGTCATAGCTTATTTCGTCGTCAATTTCTGGCAACAAATCTGAGCATTTCTTGACACTCAAAACAGTGGAGATTTGGAGAAGCTTCAGGAGGCTGCTGCAGGTCTTGAACTCCGACTCATGGTCACTAGCTCCCTCATACTCCTTATAGTCATTCATATATTTGTAAATTCCTTTGATCTTCTTTCCGTGATTTTGGATTAGTCTGAAAGTCTTGATAAAACCTTTGGCTGTCTGTAAATACATCACTATTGAATCTCCCTCTAATGTGACATTGGGGGACCAAAGCTCAATGATATTAGGGATGTTAGAATAGTTCAGGTACCCATGTGCTCCACAACATTCCCTAATCTTGAAGAATCCAGTCAGAGACTCCTGCATCTGAAGCCCTTTAAAGGCTGAAGCGATTGAGTGCAGATCTCTCATTGTTGAGAACTTATCGTCCTTTATCTCCTCGATCATCTTGTCGTACTTGATCTGACACTGCTTCGAGGAGAACACACATGCATATGCATAACTTAGGAAAGGAATAATCTGGTGCTGGGTCGCTTGATAGTCAAAGATCCTCCTTTCTTCATTTGAATTTGGAATATTTCTGAACTGTTTCCTCAGTAAAGTATATTTGATCCCTAAACAACAAGAGGAGATCACAAGTCTCCAAGTATGCTTGATCAAAGAGATCCTAACATGCAGCATTGTAGTGTATGCAACTTTTGGATCCCCTCTGATGTTGAGCTCACCTCCTTTCTCCAGGCTAATGAACCTTGAGAGTAATGCGGTCCTTGGAATTCTGAAATCTTTGAAGATCATGTATCCATTATCTTTATTCCCATAACCATATTTTGGTCCAATATCTCCAATCTCTAGGCCTCTAAGAGGGATGTGGGAATCTTCGTCCCTAATTCTGCAGATGAAGGCATTTACTCCCATGCTCTGCCCATCAACAATCATTTTAGCATGGAATACTCAATGGTCTGATTGCTTTCCTAGTTCTCCTGGCCAAAATTTGATAGCCTTAAGTGAAGGAGTGTTCACTACAAATTCATCAGTGTCAGGGTCGTAAGCTGCTTCAGTCATGAGTCCTTGCACATCTGAGCCATGGCCCATCTCTGTCTGGGCATAACATCCCAGTACCTCATAAGAGATGATCCTTGGGAGGTAATATTCTCTCTGCTCGTCTGAGCCCAAAATTCGAACAACTGTTTCGAACATTGTATGATGCAAAGAAGTACTAGAGATGGTGTTCATTGGGGCGCCATATTCTTCACTAGTAGTGTAATCAACTGGAGGAAGGCCCATATCCTTAGTAAGCTCCTTCAGCCTGTTAAGTTTTCTATAATTCGAGTAAAACTGCTCTTCTCTAGTATGATCAAACTCATGGTATTGGTACCTAACCTTAGAATCAAGCGAGTATTTCACCGTAAGTTCAGCTAGCCTTTTGTAATTTTCTTTGCCGTCATGTAAATAATAAGCAAGCTCTTCTCTATCAATATCTGATCTTTCGAGCTCTTTCACAAAAATAGGGTCAATAGGGTAATCCTCTCCTTCGTGGGACATTAAGGTAACTAAATTTTAATGAATAAAGTTCAATATATAGAGTGCCTGCTGGGGTTTTGGGGTTTTGGGGTTTTGGGGTTTTGGGGTTTTGGGGTTTTGGGG